CTACAATGGCAACAAACCAGTAAGCTAAAGAGAGTTTTTTTTCATTTTTTTTTTTTCCTTTTTGCGTGGGCAACTTCTGGTTTTGTTTAAGCCAAGTATTTTGGGAGGAGTGATGGAGTGATGGCGGGTGGGGGTCTCGGCGCTCCCCTGGCTGCCCGGGTGTGCTCCTGGAGCACTCTCTGGGAAGGTGATCCCGAGCCGCTTCGGCAGAGGTCACTTCTGTGTGCGTGTGTGTGTGTGTGTCCCTGGTGTTTGTGTCTAGCATATGCATGTGGTTTTGCTGACTGCACTTGCAGGCTTGTAAATTTTCACCATGGGAAATTACCAACAAAGCCCAATCTGTCTCCTGGCTGCTTTGCACTTTCCGAGGGCGGCTGTACTTGAGCGAGCTGCAGAACGAGAGAAAGCGAGAGGGAGAGAGAGAGAAAGAGGGAGTTGGGAGGGGGGAGGGGGGAGAGGAAGGGTGGGTGGGTGGGTGGAGGGGGAGAGAGGTAAATAGCCTTAAATCGGAAGGGAGCTGCTTCTCTGTGGTCTTCCACAAGAGCTGCCTGGGCTCTGCTGGCTCAGTAATAACTGAGTGACCTTTTCTTTTGCTGTATTATGTCTGGCTGGTAAGGGATTGCATTTTGCAGCTGATAAAGCCCTGACTTCATTCAACTCGGCTCCTCACACGCTGCTTTAGGTAAGTTGTCTTCAGCCAGGACGGAGACAGACAGCCTTGGACTGCAAGATACTAAAAGGAGGACACCTGTAGCTCGGATGCGGTCAACACAATTACTTGGCGGATCCTTGAGGACCTCATTATTTTAAACTTAAAGAATAGAGATCTCCCTCCCCATCTCTCCCACCCCCTCTTTATTTTTTTCCCCAAACAATGCTTCTTTTTGACCTTTTCCAAGGAGAAGAGCTACAAAGCAGCCACTGTGCTTATTGAACTGCCTCCCCTGTATCGCTTAATTGAGAAGGTAAGTGAGGCAACTGTGTACATAAGCTTTGGGTCATTTGTGTATGTGTGCCTGCATCACTCTCTCTCTCTCCATCTCTCTCTCTCCCTCTCTGAGTCATAAGCCGGGGCTGCAATACACACACAGACATCTCTGCACTGCAACTTTCACTCGAGCTGCAGCTCTGCTGAGACTGTTTTGTTTAAATCATGTGAGGCTTCATTATTTTTATGATGAGACATGAAATACATGCAAGCAGAGGCTGCTGAGCGAAACCCATCCGACTGTACGTCTCGAGAAATAGCAAAGTTAACAATGAATTGCAGCCCCACCACTACCCCCCTCCCCGTTATTATTGTTATTATTATTCTTGCTTCTTCCAGAGCTTCTGGAAACACGCTCTCGATTATCAAGGGACTCGGTTAATTTCCCACTCCCCGGCTTTAATCCACAAGCCTCCCCGTACAGCAGTTTAATTTGCAACTGGTTCGGCGCAGGGTTAACCCTTTGAGCGGGGCGGGGAGCCGGGGGCGGCAGGGAGGCGCACGGGCTGCGGGCTCGGGGCTCCCGCGTCCTCCCTCTCCCGGAGCGCCCAGAGGGAAGGGCAGCCAGGCTGCCGCTGGGCAGCGGCACTTCTGTGCGCCAGCATTTCTCTTTTCTCCTCTTTTTTGGCTTTTTTTTTTTTTCTTTCCTCTTCTCTCTCTCTTCCCCCCCTCTCCCCCCTCCGCTTCTCCCTTCCTAGCGGGCGCGATACGGTATGCTAACGCCGCATGTGACAGTTTAATCAAACCCATTTGTTACAACAAAGCTAAGAGACCGCTGGCATTATAGGCTTACGGCAGAGTTAGAGGAGCATGTGGCTCTGTCGCGGCTCGGGGTGTGCCGGTCCCCCATCCATCCACCTCCACATCCCCGGCCCCGCCGCCCCCCGCCCCCGCTGCGGCGCGCCGCGCTCCCGCTCACTTGACCCGAGCCGAGGAAGCACTTGCTACTTTTGCCGGGATTTGGTGCTTTCAATGAGAAGGAGCTCTCCAGGCGCCCGTAAATCAACTCATGCAGAAAAAGGAGAAAAGTTTTGGTAAGGCGGCGGTGGCCGGTGCTGGCGGTGCGCTCCCGGGGGGAGGCGGGGGGCTCCTCCTTCCTCTTCCATCCTCACCGCGGGGCTCTGGGCAGACGCGAAATGCCGCTTGCTAGGACAGCTCTGCAGGACCGCTCCTAAAACCGATCCCTTTTGCTCGGTGCAGCAAACATCGCGACGTGCTGTCCCCGACACCTCCCTCTCCCCGTCTTTGTGATGCTCGGAAAGGAATTGGCATAAAAGGCTTGAGCGTCTAACTCCGAAAAGGGATTCTTTGTTGTGGAGTATATGTTTCTTATTTATTTTTTTTATTATTATTATTTTGCATGTGAGCTGCATCAAAATTGAACTCAGTCTTGCAAATCTCTTGTTGGCCTTTGCCAAGCACTAGCACTTTGCTGCCATGGTAACTGTAATTAAACTGATAAGAGTGGAAAAATGTCAGTATCTCTGAGCCTTGCAGCTGCATTGGAGAAAAAGGGAATCAAATTGGTTCCCAGCACCACTGCTCTAAAAAAGGAGGGGGGGAGAGTGGTGGGGGGGGGCTGGGGGAGAGAGATGAGGGGGACACGCCAGGGGTAGGAACATAGCTCAGCAGCTCCAGTCCCTGAGATCTGGGTACATCTATTTGCTGTGTTGTCCCTTAGGGGGCTACAGCCTGCAGGGATGCTCTGGGCCAGTGAACAGAGAGAAACAAGCTTTTAGGCCCAATCTAGCTTTCAAAAAGAGAACGGGAAAGAAGAGAAATCTTTTGTTTGGTGTCTCTTGGCAATCGACTAGCCATGTTGGCCAAATTCTTTTAATCTGTATCACTACTCCCAGCTGTGGGACTGCATTCCCATTTTTATTTTTTGCCTAGCCTCTTCTCTTTTCCTTTTTTTTTTTCATCCTCTCCTTCCCAAGTCATATCTTTTATTTAGAAAGAAAAAAAATCAAAAATAATAAAGAAAAAAACCCAGATTCCTCTGTAGAAGAAAGGGCGAGAGGTGAAGTCTAGTTATATACCATGGAAAATTAACTCAAAAGTATACAGGAGAGGCTATATTCAGAGTGCTGAAATCCTTACTTTTATTTTTAAAAAAAATCCCCAAGTGTTATGGAGTTGCGGTGACTTTGTTGTGTTAACTACAGAAGCTGAGACTGTGCGGATGAATGGCACAGAACAAGAGAGCATAATGGAGGCAATCAACCGTTAGGCTGGTTCACAATGCAATCCAGGCAATTAAAAGCTCACCAGAGTTTAAATGAAATGGTTCCACTTATTTCTGTGCACCACACTGCACAGGCTATTATTTATGTCTCTTTTTTTAATTATGATTTCCCTTAAACTGTCAAATAACTCAGAATAGCAGGGTCTCGGAGGCAATAAGAATTTTCCACAGAACAATTTACATGCCAATCTAAAACTAGTTACGACTCCTGATATGCTACATATGAGTTCTGAAATGCTTCTTAGCTTCTGAAACCACAACTTTTTTTTTTTTCCCTGAGTCTGTATGCATTGCCCTGAATTACTGGAGCTCTGAATGCTTTTAGGATGAAGCTATAAAAGTGGGAAAGCACCAGAAAAGTATTCTTATTTTCTTTTCCTAGACCCCTAGCTTTCTTCTTGACTGCGTGTTGTCTGTTTCCTTTCAAAGACTGATGCACCCAATACTCAATTTGCCCCAAACTGATTTTTCAATTGGTTTTGTTTTTCCTAAGTAGAGGCAAGTTTGCCCATTTGTGCTACTGTCTTTGGTGGAACTGTGTGCATGCTTCTGAAAAAGGGGGGAAGAGTGGTCTTTAAAAGTTTCTAAGAGATCCAGAGCATAATACAACTCTTCCTCCCAAGGACTGCCTGTACCACAAACAAGAACTGAGTTCTGAGTGTCTCACACCACGCTCAGCACCATCAGAGACTAATCCCGATTACAGATGCTTCTAAATCACTAACACAATATAGTTCATTACCTCAAATCCTCATTCCCCTTGATTTTTGAGAGGGGAGATGATTTGAGTGAGATGGATTTTTGTTTCTCTGCCTTCCCTGGGAGCCTAATTTAGCTTTTTCCAGTAACCATTCCTCTTTATCCTGAAATCATAGTTACAAATCAGTTGACAGTGTTTCATCACAGGATAATAACAATAAACAGGGAGGGGAGTCAATTGCATCGGACTTATTTGGGGAGATGGAGAAAAATCTGAAAACCTGCAAATCGGGTTTTTAAGTTCTCCCTTCAAAAATCCTAAAGGGGGTGAATGGTGATAAAGAAGTCTTCTTCCTGCCACAGCTCTGCAGTTTATGTGCAGTATCCTGGGGACTGGGGATGGAGGGAGGGAGCGGAGGGAAGGATAGAGGAAGCCCTTGAAAGCATATTGGGGTGAAATAAAAAGGGTTTGTTTGACAGTGACAGACTAGGCACTGAAATTCCTCACTTCTGAGAACAGATCTGCTCTGTGATGCAGAGCATGGGTAGAACTCTGCAGAACTGAAGGGAAAGCTGGGTTTGATTTTTTTTTTTTTTTTTTTTTTTTTTTTTTTTTTTTTTTTTTTTTTTTTTTTTTTTTTTTTTTTTTTTTTTTTTTTTTTTTTTTCCCACAGCCTGGGTGTAGCACTTAGGGAATTGTATGATGTTTTGAAAGTGTTCCATAAGCTTTGCTTTCCTGGGGGAGGGGGAGAGGAAGGCAGCCAGGCAGCAGTGCTGTGTACTGCCACCTGATATTTCAGCAATGAGCAGTTTGGATGGGTTTGTGGGTGCTGTCAGCCTCTGAAAAAGCCCTTCCCATGTCCTAGGGAATAAATGAGTAGTTAAACTGCAGCCTGTGAAAAGCTGGCTGACAGTAAGCTGCAAGGTATTCTTATTGCCAAATTAAGGGAGAGCTAAAAATACACAAGCGTGTATCTGAAGAGTGCAACTGCATTGGAGGGAGATCTTATGGGAATGTTAAAGGGGAGAGAGATGGTCTGTGAGGTGATCTGCATTAGAGTGGTTCATACAAATAAATACAGGAAAAAAAGAAGTAAAATGTTCTGTTGTCAAAATTAAAGGATTTAAACAGGGCGTGTGAAGAAAAGGACATTTTCAAATTTGGAGATATGTCAAAACATTTTTCGACTTTATTTTGAATCCTTCTACGCTACCAAAAAGCATAACTTTTTCTTTTTTTTACAATGAAGCAGTAGTTTGGCAAAATTGAATTAATAAAATAGAACCGAATTCATTGCATGTAAAGTGAGATCTATCAGAGGAGAAAAGCTTTCTTTCCCTCCAAAATCCCTAATCTGAAGATGCTGCCAGTTGGGTGTCAGCACCACCCTCTCTCTCTGCCTCAGGAAAACAGATATTCAGGGTTGCAAACACACCTTCCATGGGGTGTTTGCCCCTTTGCAGTTGTCTCTACAAAAAGGTTTTGGGCTAACCAGTGTGAATGACAGGGCTCTGCCTACTTTCCTCATGTAACAAGTATCTCAAAAGCTGTGCAGGCTATGTGCAAGCTGCAGTTTTATTTGTAATACAATAACCTCATGTTTGCAGCATATACCTCGGGAATTATCAGGCTTGATTACTGCAATCTGCTCAGACATTCACTTGTTTGGCCGTGTTTCTGTGGCATCTTGTTCCCTTCAGACAGCTCAGGACAGTAGATCAGCCTGGATCAGAGACTGTCAGCCTCCACTCTCTAACCCGCTTCCTTATCAGGCGATGAAATTTTTACATTAAGATTTTTTTCGTTAAAGCCTTTAACTGTGTTAGCTCCTAGTTTATTCTGGTTTCCCTCGAGCTAAAGATTAAAGTCCTAGAACAGCCCTTCATGCTTCTAAACTTTTCTTTTTTTTTTTTTTTTTAACTGAGTTACAAGAAGTTTATACAAATTGTGGCTGATTTTATGCTTTTGTCCTCTACATGGCCAAAGAGGAGGTCTGGGGATAAGCCTGTTGTTGGCACCTGATGGATATTTACACTCTACTGTGATAAGAAACATTACAGATTAAGGCTTTTCCACCAAGTGATATTATTAGAGTTTCAGCAGGAGTTCCCTTTACAGTCTGGTGCAGGTTCCTTACCAGAAATCTCTGATATTTCCACTGCTTTGAGTCTTTTCTCTGTAGCCATGTTACTTGGCTGTTTCATGGATGTACCTGGATTCAGGGGAGTCAGCTGTCAATTGAAAATGCTGTAAAGGCTCAGCCTTTGTCTCATGGTCCTTTCTCAAGAGGAAATGTGTGTTCACTCCCAGATCTGCCACAGACTGTGGAGCCCAGTGCAGGTCACTGGATCTCATCCTCTCCTTTGGGAGACAGATCTTAGGATGGTGGTGGTGAGGAGCTACGAGCATCCTCACCTACGTGGTGAGGAGCTATGAGCATCAACTGGGGAGTGATGGGAGGGACAGCACTGACAAGTTTTATACTGGTTGATAGAAAAATGCAGACCTTACACTTCTGTCATGAGATTTAGATGTTATGCAGCAGCACTTCTGGGGTACTTTGGGGTGTCTGCTAGCAGAACTGCCTGCACACCCCTGAATAGCTCCTCCACCAGATAAATGTATCCCCCCAAAATGTGTGACAGGCTGCCTTGCAAAGAGAGGAGCGAGGCTGCTGTTGCAATAAGAATTATTATTTCTAATTCAGCGATCAGCTTTGCAGGTGGGACCTAGCAGTTCAACTCGGGAACACTGGAAAGTCACTTAAATGGCCATGCACTCCATGTAAATTCCATGTGTTCTACACACACCTGTGTGGAGTTCCCTGGGATGCCTCAGCCTGTTTTTGCAGCCCTGACACCTATAAAGGCATGCTCTACCGTTGCTTCAAAGGTTACACTGCTTTTCCTGTTTTTCTTACAAGGGCTTTCAAACAAGCAAACACAAACCAAACCAAACAACCTCCAGGTCATCTGTGTTCTAGCTCCCTGAGCCTGCCTGTGTGTGGTGGTGTGTTACAGTACCAGCCAAGATCTGCTGATGGAAGCTGACACTGCCAAGCTCTCTTATCTCCAGGTAGTAGAGCGTTCATGGTGAGGGGCTCTTGAAATTTGCTCCTCTTTGCTCTGAGAATTTATTTGACCTTTCCCAAACTCTGGATGACGATAATAGCATTCTAAACCCCAAACGATGGAGTAGGATTTGCTTGTTCGCAACAGCATTCGTTCCTCATCTTGAATCTCCCCAAATCTTGACAAATCCTCATTTGAACATTCAGACACACTCTAGTGAGTAGCATCTTTTTGAAGTTACATCACTGGCTTTAAAGCAGTGAGGTAACCCCATATTGAACAGCATGTCAGGTCTTCCCTTCTCTCCCGTCCCTGTTTGATGTCCCCCAAAATATCCACAGGGCTATTATTTTGCTTATCCTAAGAGAAAACTGTGAGAGAATTAGTCTGAGTGCACTGGGGTGTCAGTTCCTGCAGCTAGCCAGGGAGACCAGCCTGTGAGCACTTTGGGGCAGTGACCTCTCCCCATTTACTGTAAAGCTGAGGGCAATTGATTTTTGAATGGATCCCTGGAAGCTGGCTGTGTTACTCTGAGTAATATCACTCAGCTGTGTTCCCCTTTTCGCTGGTTCTGTCCATTAAACAGTGTTTCAGGTGTTTGAATGGTTTTTTAAATGCTCTCAGCTATTGCATCAAAAGGTGTATATATATTTAATGGACACTACTGTACTCCTTGTCCTGAAGTAGCTGTTGACTGAAACTGGGATTGGAAAGCGGGGCAGCATTTTTTTTTTTTTTTCCCTTGACAAACTAGAACCTCTCTGACCTTGTGCAGATTCTTTTAAGTCAGATTTTTTTAGGAGGGCTTTCCACTGTGTTGCTGCTACTGAAGACTTTGGAAATCTCACCACTTCATTAATATATCTAAAAATAACTAAAATATTAAAAAACAAAACACCCTCTTGCCAGTATCAAAATTTCTATGTCAAATCTCTCAGAAACTTGCCCTGTGCCTCTAAAAGCTCAAATCTTTTCTTCTTTAAAAACTGAAGTTCTTTTTTATTTTATAAATATAGTGCAAATAACTCCAAATATGTGGATGTAAGTATGTTTTCCATATAGATATCCTGTTTATTTAAATTTTGGGTTACTAAGTATTGGAGATGTGCTGCTTATTTAAATTTTGCATTGCTAAATATTGAATTCTGCAGCTGAAAACTGGATGACTTTTCAACTGGACTGTTAATATTTCGTGTTACTTTTTAAAATCTCATTCCTTTTCAGCAAAGAGACCAGGTAAATGAGGTGTTAAAGAGAAGCTGTGGAACTTAGAGCAGTGGAAGTTTCTGCTCTCAAATTTATCTTAGCCTTGTTTTCAGCTCGCTGTGGACTGACTAGATTATTTTATCCTACCTACACCATTGACTTTTAAATGAACTGGATGTGGTGGGGGGAGCAGCGAGGTGGAGGAAGAAAAGGGCAAGAGTTTTTGTACTTGGGAGAATATCTATTTTCAGCCTTCCCTTGTCTTACTGTATTTCAGGTATACAAATGCTCTCAGTCCAGCCAGACACCAAGCCGAAAGGTTGTGCTGGCTGCAACCGTAAGATTAAAGACCGATATCTTCTAAAGGCCCTGGACAAATATTGGCATGAAGACTGCCTGAAATGTGCCTGCTGTGACTGCCGCCTGGGGGAGGTGGGCTCCACCTTGTACACCAAAGCCAACCTTATCCTTTGTCGCAGAGACTATCTGAGGTAGGTCACGGCCTTCTTCCATTCGCTGACGAGTTTGGGGAATCTGTTCAGCCCTTCCTACAGACCTGCTCTCACACAGGCAGGGCTGCAAGGCTGAGGATTTGAGGAGATGAGGAAACACTGAAATAGGGAGATTGAATTAAAATCTGAGTCAAAAAGCGCACACAACCAGGTTGTGGAGGTGGCTGCCAGATTTCTGATGCTGATACTGGTGTAGAGGAGAGTAATTCCCCCCTGCTTCCCACAGCACCGTGCTCCTGGTGTGGTCTCCTGCTCCCCCTCCTCCTCCTCCTCCTGGCAGCACAGTGGTGGCCAGATATCTCAGCCTGAAACCAGCTATGTGGTTTTCACCCAGCTTCTGGGCAGGGTTGGAACTCTGCAGGTGAGGAACGTTTCACCCATCTTTGCATTTGTCTTCTCAGTTTGCTAAGGGATTTCGTTTGTGGCACTCATCTTTATGAGCTTACTTCCAACTCAGCTGTTGGAAACTGGACCAGGATGGCCAAGTGATTTCCCCATTTTTAGCGACCATGAGCCTGAGCTCCGACCCACTCTGCTCCTGGTTTCAGTTGGTGGCCCAGGTGGGATGCTGGCTAACCTGTGGCCACTTGCTAGAGGTAGCAAATCAGCACCTCCTTTTCTGTCTTCTTATTTGCTTGTGGGCCTACATTCTCAAAAGCATTTGAGGAATAACTCCTAGCAAAGTACTGGCAAGCAGCACCAGGATAGTTTATCTACACACTGTGTGTCAATAGGGCTGCTTTGCAGGATAGGAGTTTAACTGGGAAGTTTAGTGTCCCTGGGCTCTCAATATTAAATAGAGAGAAAAAGCTCCTCTGGGGCGATTCCCAGCACCTATTTTCTACAGTAACACCTTTCCTTCATTCCCTGTGGAGGGGGTCTAATGAGACTAGCTGCTCCAGGCTAAGGTGAACTTCTGGGAATATTTCCCCTGCCCCTTTAGTGAAGCCTTTTCCCTTTAAAGGGCCATCGAAGTCGCTAATACTTTGGGGAAAAATTAAAATTCTTTTTGAATGCGTTAACTTCCAAGTTCCACTTAAATTCAAGTACCAAATAGGATGTTCCCACACACTGATCAGTTCCCAAATTATACACCATGAGTAAGTAGGAACAGGAATCAGGACTAAAGTACTAACAACTATCAGTACTCTGACTCTCCACATAACCACCTCTAGAAAAAAAGAGTGGGACAAAAACCTTCATAAACGCACTGCGTTTGTTGAGCTGAGGCTGAAAGGCAGATCAGGTTCTTCAGATGGGCTTAGACTACTTAATGTTAAAAGTATTCTGCTACCTATTAAAGCTTTGAACTGAACCCAAGATAGAGTGATGAGAATTCAGCATAGAGGCTGCATCTTAAACCCTTTGTGTTAAAGCTGCCAAAGTAGTAGGTAACAAAACCTCACTTTTAAAAGCTATTGGAACAGAAGGGAATTGTTGTATATGAACTTAGGTCGCTTGTGGTCTTTAGGTGAGTGTGTGTAGAGAGGGATTGAAAAAGGTTTTGGTGCGGGGAAGTAACATCCCAATTTTTAAAACACATTTTAATAATCTTTATACAACAAATGCCTGCAGGACCAAGAGAACTGCTATGGCTGTTTCATCTCAGTTCCAAATTTACTGGAGACTTTGAGCTTACTGAATCTCCCAAGTGCTAGTCCAGAAGATCTAATGTTTTGAAATCAAATGTTTAAAATCAAAACCAGAAATGATGTGATAGCAAAGATATGAGCAAAGCATTTCCCCAGCACAGATGCATTCACACACGCTCTTGCACTGTGGTCTTTGAGGGTTTAACAGCAGTAAATATTTTGCTAACAGATTGTTAAAACCCATACTAAGTGATTCAGAGAAAGGAGATTTTTTTGTTGTTGTTGTTTGTCATGATTACATTCAAACTGGTGTTTCATTTATTTCTTCATACATAATACTTTACTTTTGAATACAAAACCAGCATACATGAGAAATCCTCTAACTGGTTTTAAGATGTTTCTGATTTTTGTCTCTGGATTTGTTGAGTCTTAATGAAGCTATTTGGTTTTGGGTTTTTTTTGTTGTTTTTTTTTTTTTTTTTTTTTTTTTTTTTTTTTTTTTTGTTTTTTTTTTGGTGATACTTTTTTGTGCACAGATTTAAACTTGGTATTTACACTAAACTTCAAACTGATGCACTTAAGGTAATTGCAGATAGTCATTTGCCTCATTGCATCTTATCTACTTAGTTATGCAGTGAACCTATAAAAGTGATCTTTTTAGTGCTAATGTACAGACTAGTTAAATTTTCTCTAGCTTTGTAGTCAAATAAGCTTTCATATTTAGCAACCCACTTGATATGAATTTAAGGAACAAATTGCATTGTACTAATGATCACATTAGAGTTCGATTATGGTTTCAAACTATCTTCTTAGCTTTTTTTCTTTTTAACCATAAAGGGAGCCTTCACTGCATATAAAACTGTTCTGGCTTCCTATTAATTTATGTGGTGCCCTCTAGAGGATATGTGGCTTGAACGATACTATAAAGAGAAAAATTGCTTATTAACTTGTCTCTCAGTGTTCATTATGCCTTTCAATAAGACAGGCATACTACAGATGCTACAAGCAATCATGTAGCCAGTTTGGGTGCTTTAGCATTCATGTTTAAGTTCATCAATGGTGTTATTGTGTCTTTGCCTGTTTGCAAAAATATTTCCAGTATCTCTCATTTAGAGATGCCTGCCAAAAAAGCTACACCCTCCCTCAGCCCTGATGCACGCTCTCGTGCCGCAGTTGAGCCCTGAGGTCCCCACTTTGAGCTCCTTATAAATACTCTACATCTTCAAAACTCCAAAACTTGCTTTGCTTTAGCTATCTCCTTTGGTAAAATTAGTTAATTATACTACATTAAAACCTTCTTCTCCAGATCGGGAGGGACTGAGGGAACGGAAGGAATCCTTAATGAAGTAAGGCGCTTGACAGCTGCTGTGGGTGTGAGAGGCTTTGCCCTGGAATCTGATCCATGTGTGGCACTCCAGCGGTTCCCGAGGTGTTGTACGGCGCCAGGGCGTCGGGGCGACCACGGCAGGAGCGAGCTCCATTCCGTTAACAAGGATGGGAACTGACTGGAGCAAAGAAAGGGCTCAGCGTTAGAAATAACACACTCCCCGAAAATGATATGCAGAGTATAATTCCCCTGCAGGCTTCTGTCTTCTGCTTATACACTCCTGGGTTAGAAAGTGAAGACTTAATTTGAGGAACTTAGGTTTACACCAATATTTCAAGTCCATTTATAGTAAGTGAAATATGCAAGAACTTTTTTTTTCCTCCCCTTCTTTTCCTCCAGAGCTGTACGGTGACATCTTAATGCATCAGCCTATCCTCCTCTGTCCTCTCTTCTGACTGGCAGCGTGTCCATTTAGAAGCACAATATTCCCTTTGAAATCTGTCATTACTGCCATTAATGACCAGTCATTATGTTAACAGCCCTTGGGCTGTTAACATGTCAAACTGGTTGTTAACTGGAATGTTATTACTTATTTAAACCGCAGGTATGAGTTTTGTGAAATGTGCTTTGGTTGCACGTTCTGGGCTGCCTCTGCTCGAAACAAGAGGGAAACAGCAGAGGGTTTGCCTTTGGGGTGCCAAGGGATTTGCTTTCTCTTCCATCTGCTCGTTTGATTTCTGTATATTTGTGAGGTTCTCCTACCCCTGGGCAGCCTCCTAATTTCAGGTGCAACTGTGTGTGACCCCCTCTCTTAGCCTTGCTTGCAAATGGGCAGCTGTGGATGTTTCCAGATGCACGGTGATGCCTGCTGCACGCTTGAGATTAATATCTGGCCCCTGGAAGTGTAAAATAAAAGACTGACAATTACGTGTAACTCAGTTGTATTAAATAATGAGCTTCCTCAGATGCAGCAGAAATATGAAAGTACAGCTGTGCTAAGCTAGTTGCAATGTAGGTCAATCACCCTTTTCACTTAGGTTTTTAACTACGCAAACCCCGCTGAGCGACCAATGACTACAAAGTGCTGTTTCATTCCTATTTAATTTTGGCAGCATTTTACTGAAGAGCAGGCATTCATGCAGCTAAATTATCTTTGCCGTTTCTGGTTTTAACTCCAGCTCCATGACACTAAATGTTGGAGTGCATATCTCTTAGTAAACACAAAGAATATGGTTTCAGATATATATTTTTTTTTCCAAATCCACCTCTTAACATGGAAATTGAATTAGAACTTTTATTACTTTTTGCATAATTTCCCTAGCCAGGCAAGCAAGATCATAAGAAAAGGATTAACAAAACTAATATACTGGGGTGGAATTTTTGCCCTTAAACACATCTAGAACCTTACTGAGAATGGGGATGAGGATGACAGAAGGTCTATCCTCTCCCCCCACCCTTTCAGCATTGATACTGTTTGTAAGTAGACAGCAAACTTTAAAAGTACCACTGAAGGGCTATGAAAATGAGTAGATCACCATTCCTGAGGAAAGGGACAGAACACGTTGCGTTTTTTCCTCCTCCACCACTTGATGGTTGAAAGACCTGAGAAAAGACAAGTCTCTAAAACTGGATAATGGAGAAGACCTTATAAATTATGAGCCTTGACCATAGAAAGTAGTATTCAACCAGAAGCATTATAAAGATGCTGCCTCTGTAAAATATTTAGCTTCAGAGCAGTTTGAAAAGAGAAGAATTTAGGAAGCAGCTTTTTCCTTTACAACAACTCGCACTCTAAAGGCAATTATTATTTTTAAAAATCATTGTGTAAGAGTGCTTAGAAAGACTTAAAATGTCTTGTGGCCTGGTGCTGATTAGCAGATCCCATTCCTCACTTATGTCACGGGCAGTATTACAAACACCCAAGATATCAGCTTGCTTAAATGCATGTATAAACACTCTGTGTGGATATTTTCATGGGTAGTGGGTTATAAATTCTTTCAAAATGCCTCCTCAACATGTTTCTTGCCCAGCTTGATTAAATAAGCGCAGACCTTTAAAAA